TTTCATTACTTAACTGAATAGGACTTCCAAAAGGAGGTATATAAGAATCAATTAATATTTTCAATAATATAGTGAAAGAGACAAGAAAGCTGGACAAAGAATGCTGAATCTTAAGCCAGAATATTAGCAAAGTCTATGATTCAATAAATCCAAAGCTTCTAAGCAAGACCTTTTAGAGAATTAAAATCCTAATAACTGTCAGCAAGATCCTGGAAAATCCAATTAATAATAGAAAAACAAGAGTTATAATATGTTATGATCTTACAAACAGTTTTAAATCAGCACAAGATATAAATCAAAAAGACACAATTTTACTTTTGTTGTAGCATATTTATTATAACCTACTAATCAACAAAGTAGAAAAAGAAAACATAGAATACAGATTTACAATTTAGAAATCCACAAACAACCCAAGTATATAAAGGGAACAAGAATATAGAATCTCATTAATAATATATATGGATGATACAATCTGACTAGCAAACTGTAGGAAGCACATTGACAGAATTATTAAAATTACCAAATAATTTGCAAAGCTGGCTAATCTCAGAGTCAACTTAGAAAAAGCAGTTTTTCTTATAATAAATAGTCAGATATAAAAGTTTTTTAGTTTCAAAATCAACCAATCAAATTAATAAAACCTAAACAAGCTATAAGAATCCTAGGAATATGGATCACAGCAACAGATAGCAAGAAATATTAGTATGAACTAATTTAATTAAACAAAAAATAAAAACAACAATACAAATCTTGAAAAGAGTTATGATTATAAACAAACAATGCAGATATATTCTAAATCAGGTCATAATGCTAGCTATAGAATATATGCTCCAAAATATAATTCTCTCAAATAAAGAATTTAATTTTATAGACAATCAAATTAGATAAGCCTTCAAATACAAGATTGGTATTCTGATACAGCCTCGAATAGTAACATATACATTTATACAGAATACAAACTATTCTATATAAAAGACAGACAATTTGTACTATATATCAAAAACTGAATAACAAACTTAAACAAGAACAATTTGTGTAAAACAATAACCAGAGGCAGATTGCAACATTACAAAATCGAACATGAATATCAAAAAATATACTTCAATTAGAAACAACAATTAACAAATCCAAAAAATGTTTAACAAGTCAAATCCTACAGACACTAAAGAAGAAAGACATCATAATAAAACAAAACCAAGACCACAGCCTAATACAAACATATAATAATACAGGATTGCACATGATTAAAAACATCATGAAACAAATATAAAGCAAGAAAAACTTTACAAACATTAGAAAACACAACCTAATGTTCATTAAACAGATTACCAATATCTAACAAATACACATGTTAAACTGAAAACAAATCAGAGCCACTACATAATATAAACTTACTGATAAACAGTCAAAATAGTTTACTAAAATTAGAGAAAAATATAGTCAATCAGACATATTAAAAAACAGATACACAATCATACTAATGGACTTAACAAGATTTAATCCAATCTTTTAATTAGAAGTAGCAAAAAATTACAACATTCAAAAGCAAAGATACTTGGCATATATAATTAATCAACAAATATATCTTAAAAGAATAGATTGCAGATACAAAATAATAGATAACAAAATTAGAGTACAATATATGTAACAAATAAAAGGAGACTTGCCCATAGCCAAATATCAAGGTTGTAATTATAGAGACAACACAAAGGAGAAATGTATCAGAGAAATAAAAATAAACCAGACAATAATTATCCCAGTAACAAAAACCATATACAGTATAAAGCTTTACAATTAGATCCTAAGACATTTTGACAAAATACAAATATCATTAGACACAATAATACACAATATATAAAATCTGGAAAACAAAATCCAAACCAAAATCAATGTTGTAATTAGTGGAAAACAAACAGAAATGGAAAATAAAATTATAAAATACTCTCAAATTTATAGCTCAAACAAAGAAAAACTAATCAGGATAGCTGAACAAACTGAAAACTAAAAAAGAATAAAAGCATATACAGATGGCTCAATGGTCCAGGAAGCAACCAATTAAACCAAGATAGGAGTGGGATGGCATATAACCAATTAAGAAACAAAAAAGAAATTAATATACTCAGAATATATAGAGCACTTCCTATCATCAACAAGAGCAGAATTAATAGTAATTCTAATTATATTGATCACAATTCCAGCATAAATAAAAGTCAAAATATATACAGACAGCCAAGCAACCACCTAAAAGATTCAAAAAGGAGACAAAGGAGGCTGCCAAATTTATAAAAATAAAACTTTGATTAAAAGAATCATCAAAGAAAGGTAAGGACAAATATTATTTATTAAAGTCAAAGTATACCAGAGAGAAGAGAACAACAAAGAGACAGATGAATTGGCAAAAGAAGAAGCAAACAAAGAAAATGAAGTAATCATAACAGTCAACTCAAAAGCAATGACATGGGAAACACTAAAATGAAAGAAATATCAGTTAAACACAAATATCAAAGAATTCTTAAAGAATATGCAAAACACCAAATTAATAGCAAATTAGATAATATAAAAAAGAAATAGAGTATGGATTGAGTATAGAAATAAATTGCAAATAGATTGGCATTTTACTTGAGAAGTAAAGCATCAATCCAGAATAACTAAAATATATACAAACCAAGAGAATCATGTATATAGAATAATCAAATATAGATTATTAAATAATGAACTTTCTATACTGAATAGGCTAGCAGAAAGAAGACCAGATATTTACAAATCAAACAAATACCTAGAATGCAAGAAAACAAAAAGCCTAAATTATTTGATATATAAACATTAATGGTACAAAATTATGGAAGAATACAAAAAGATAATAAAAGATAAAATAGAAAAGTGTCAAAAAAACTGAAATAAGAGAAATGGAAAGGAAAATTTAAATCAAAAATACCATTAATCACTAATTTAGAGAGTACAAGAAACTATATAATAAAAGGGATTCCAATTAAAAAGATAATATAATACATATACCAGTATACAAAAAAAAAACAAAAGAAGTATATAAAAAAATTGTAGAAAAAATAATAAAAGTAATTAATGAACTGTAGAAAAAAGATATGAAAAAATCATAGAATGGGAAAAAATAAACAATATTAGCAGAGTGGACAAAAAAAAGCAAAGACATAGAATATACTAATTAGAAGTGGAAAGAGATAAAGAAAAAAAAAATAGCAAATGGAAAAAAGAACTTGACAAAAAAGTTGTTGGAAAGATGGGTTAAAAACATATACAAAATAACAAAAAATATTTTTATTTATTTATATACTAGTGACATTAATAATAGCAATGTTTTATATTAATTTCAACCTTTATCCAATAGGAAAAGATGATAGCAACAACTGATATTTAAAAAAATCTTGATATAGTTTAGCATATACTTATCAATTAATGTTATAGCATAGTTTATATATAGAAATATGTATGAATATATGTAAATATTAACTTTAATAAAGTTTATTAAGCAAGGTTTAACTAGTTTTTTTTTTTTTTAAAAAAATAATAATATTTAAATTATTTATAAAATTATTTGAATTATAAATAAACTTGTAAATCAATAGTACAATGGTTAGTATTTTTAAATTTAAATTATAAGATATTAATTTAATTTTAAATAAAAACAATTAAATAAAATTAATATAATATTTAATATCTTATAAAAAGTCAATTTATATGTTAATTTAATAGGCATTAAGATTATAATTTCTAAAAAAAGTGTAATACAATAATTATTCAGTTAATGTTACAATAATTATTAAAAGTTCTAAAAAATAAAAAATATTTAATTTTAAACAAAATAGTTTAGTAATTATTTTTTTATAATATCTGAATATCTTTTCTTATAAGTTTTATAAAGATTATATTTTAATTTAATAATAGATTACTCTAACAATTATTTATTTTGTAAAAATAATTAAAATAATAATAAGTATTTATGGTTAAAATAATCTATAAATAATAAATTTGTAAGATAGGTTTTTTAAATATTTTTAAATAATTTTAAAAAAGATAAAAATTAAATGATATATTTATTTGCAAATAATATAAGTAGAATTTCTAATGGTACTATTTTGTTATTAAATCAATACTATTAATTTAATATAATGAATATAATTTATATATTAAATTTTTTTATAAGTTAATATTATTTTAATACTATTTTGGTATTGGTTTAAAACCTTAAATATAAGTTTAAAAGATTTTATTTATTTGTTAAAATAGATACTATTTTCAGTTTTTTATTTTAATTTTTTTTTAAAACATTGTATAGTTATAAATAGAGCTTTAAAATATTATAACAATACTAATAATATCTTGATATGTTAGACTTGATCAATACTTCATAAAAATAAAATCAATAGTAACAAGCCAATATGAAAATAGTTTAATATAGTCTAGTGATATATAAATAGTTTATAGATAGTAATTCCTGTAATACAAAAAACTAGTTGATTAAAAAAATTTTTTTTAAAAATTATAAATTGAATTCTAATGATTTTATTTTTTAAATCTTAAATTAATTTATCTAACCTAATTCATGAATCTTTAGTCTGGTTCAATCTAAGCTAAAATTATTAATCCTTAGATTAGATTGAATTAGATTGAATTACGTAATTAAAATATTAAGAATTTAAAAATTATTGTATATACAAATTTATACAATTAATAAAATATATAGTTATAATATAATAATCTTATTGTATTATTATTATACTGTATATTCTGATCAAAGATTAATAAATGCATTCAGATTGCAATTGATTGAAAGTAAATAAATAAATTATATATCTCCAGTTAGGAATGGAAGAATTTAGTACGATCATAATAAATTTTCCGTATTTTCGGATCATCTCTAGGTATATGCAGGAAAAAAGATTCTGCAGTGTAACGCAAATCATTCTGTTGCATACGACTTTTGTAAATTACGTTTTTTTTTACGTTTAGTTGTAAATTAAATAATGATTCAACTTAAGACCGTGTTAAATGTTATCGATAATTCCGGTGCCCTTCTCGCCGAGTGTATTCGCGTGGCACACGGTGGTCAATTTGGAGGCATAGGTTAGTTCAGCTTATTCAGATAGTCGAATTTTTCACGTTTTATTGATTAAAGTATCTCATCTACCTACAAACTTATTTCGTCCAGGAGATCAAATTACCGTGGTAATAAAAAAGGCTCGTCCTATTATTAATGTTCAGGGGAAAACATCTACAGGTTCTGGATTGGCAATTCGTAAGGGTGAAGTAAAGAAAGCATTGATCGTACGTACACGCAAAGAAACCAGGCGACCGGATGGAAGGTACATCAGATTTGATGATAATGCTTGCATACTGTTGAATAATAAGTTAGAACCTTTGGCTACTAGAATACTCGGTGTGGTAGGGGCAGAGCTGAGAGGGAAGAAGTGGGGAAAGGTTGTTAGTTTGGCTCCAAGGGTCATTTGATTTTTTCGCACAATTTAGATAAAGTTGGAATCTTGATTAGTTGAGGGAATTGTGAAGGTTGTTTATACACGATAGAAAATCAAGTTTTCGATGCTTGCAGTCACATAATGAACAAGAACGCGAGTATCATTTACATTTGTTTGAGTATTCCAGAGTCTGTAATCGAAGCATCCATGGATTCTTCTGATTATCAGAGGTTTACTCTTTAATGTTCTTTGTATAACACTTTAAAATCAACTGCACCTTTGGATCAAAGTACAAATTCACGAAAAAGCACGATAATGAATGTATTTCCACGGTGTCTTTCTCACAGCTACCCTATAGAACGATACGGATAATAAAAATGATACTTGACTAAGTATATAAATCAATCAAAAATTCCGGATTCATCATATCTAAATGACACAGCACATATCTTGCATTCATCTTCCATTTAATAATCCTAACGTTCCTTTCTTTTTCATCTATCTTGAAACAAATTTTGCCATATCTAGATTTCACCTTATGATACTTTATTTTTTGCTGACGTTGATCTTTAATATTTAACGGAGATTGCTTGCTAGCTACTTTGTTTTGGAGTTCTTGAATATTTAGAGTTATTTTCTCAAAGTGGAGTTTACAATCACCCATCCATACCATTTGGAAAATTAGAAAGTCGACAAACAAATTTCTGGGGATCGCCAAGTTCATTTCGGTAAAATAGATTGCACGTTTTTTGTCATTGTAGGTTGGACTTCCGGCGTTCATTTTTGCATAGTGCATTATCCTTAGATCATGAGCGCGAACCTGTGAAGGGCATCGTTCGTGCAAATATTGTGAATAATCTCTATTTAGAAGTGACGAGGGAGAAGACAAAGGAGGTCGTTTACCTCCACGCTCCATCCATTCTTATATTTTTGAGAGATTTGATCATTAATTGTCACGTGTATGAGTGAATTCCACTGTTTGCAGGTATAACGTACGTGAAAAAGTTCTTTAAATCTGAAAATTACAAAAATCGAATACCACCATGGAATTTAGTAAATCCAAAATAACGTGCTTTATTGAATATTGTGTACAAGAAAGAATAGCTCATGATATTTACCCGAATAGCTCGACCAAATGACCAAGTATTTCAAGGACTATTTCGTTGGGTATGCTGACAGTCATGTTTCCTTAGAATGAGATTAAAATCACAAAATGTAATCTTTATTGCATTATCGTACACAGAATAATTTATGTCACAACGTCGATCACTTTATTCATAAATTATACGTAATAGACTACAGTACAGGGTTTATATCTCTAACAATATCTATATCATTCAATTATAATTTAAAGAAAAAAAAAAAAAGCGAATCGAGTCTTTTCCAAGAATAGCAATCGTTCATCACAATACACCTAGTCAAATTTACGCGCCCTGGCTTTTCCCTTTCTGTCAAAGGGTGTTTTAATAGTAGAACTTCCTGAAACCGAACTCGACGAACTTGGTGAAAGCTCAAACGAAGAGGTGGATGGAAAGATATTATAATCATAATTTCTGGAAGAGATGGATTTTTTTGCAACGAATCTTTTGTTGGAAAACCTATCTACATTGAAATTCTTTTCTCTTGATTTCTGGCGATAAGCAACATCATTATTAACACAATTTTATACGTACATAGGAACAGTGAATGGTTAACTCAAATCTTACCTTTATTTTATCTATTACAAATGTGTAGGCTGAATAGGAATGTTTTACAAGCAATTTAGAAAATGAATAGAATGTATCTTCCACGAACTGTTCTTCAATATTTATTGGCCAGAGGTTCAAAGCCATGTCGGTTAAATAAACATTCAACGGGTGATCCAAATTGTTATTTTCCACTGACAAAAATCTTTGTATAAATCTTTTAAGCGCAACTGCAAAGGCTTCGGCTGGGAATTTTGTCATTTTTTGGTCAAAGTCGAATGTCTTTTCAATCTCTTCTTCTAAATACTTTTCAATAGGAATTCTCAAATCCTGGGGCAAATATCTGATAGTCGTGTTAGCGACTTGATCTTCTATTAACTCGTATAATGCCACGACATGCTTAAGTTTCAGGCCGATTCCCAATATATTGTTATATTCTTTGTGTTCTATTAAATTTGACAATTTTATCCACTGAAGTACAAAGTCGTTAATAAACGTTTCGCCGTTATTAATGGATGTTCTTTTTATGAAACAAAGAAGAACTTCTAAGAACGAAAATAATTCGGATGCATTCTCTAAGGTGTGATTATCCGATCCAATGATAGAAGAAATCTTGTCGGATGGAATAGGTTCTTGCGGTATAACACTCGAAATTTCACTTAGAATTCTTGTTGAGTTTTGGATTAATTCTAAGTGGTATGGAAATGAGTCCATGTATAACTGTTGCTCTCCTCCACTGTCGATGTAAATTTTCTCTGATAAAAGTTGCAATGCAAGTTCTGCCTCTATTCTATGTAGATCAAAAGTTATGTCGTGTCCAAACTTCATCCCAAGGTTACGTTGACTGTGCTGAAGAACAGAGTCATCCCATTGGTAATCTATGAAGTTGTTCTTTGTCAAGGAATCAAGTTTTTTGCATTCTATGTAAAGACTCCCTTCCTCTTCTGAAGTTTGCTCTCGTAAAAATGTGAGTGACTCACAACCAACAGGAATTGACAAGACATCTTGCAAAAATTTGTTTTGTAAATCAACTAAGAAATCAATGATCGCACACAAGTAAACTCCTACATCCCTTCCTTCCACTAAGCCTAATACCACGTGCTTGTTCATGTCCACTTTTGGTTTTTCTTCTGTGAACTCATGACAGCGATGTCTATTTACATGCTCAATAGCAATATTCCAAGAATATGAAAATTCATTAAAAGCTTTCAACAAGGTCTTGTGAACTTCTTTCAAAGTTCCTTGCTGTGATTCATTATTAATGAAGTCTCGGAAAGTCAAACTGACTGCATCTTTCCTGGTTAATTGATATCCAAGCCGTGAGTTCAAAATTTTTACAAACCTCACTATGGGATAAAGGTGTCTTATAAGTTGAAGGTTTTCAAAATGTTTAAAATATATTGCCAAAAATGGGAAATCTTGATGCTTCGTCAAATTTCCCATATAATAAGCCTTGAAACTCGGGAAGTCAATTTTTCCAATAGTTCTCCATAACCTTCGTAGAAAATGTCAAAGTTTACGAATGAGAAGTTAGTTGAAATCCATACGACATGTAACAATAATAACGTATGTTACCTGGGTAGGTGATCTCTGCAATAATCATCATTCATCGATAAGTTCTGATTAATTTCTCCTTCGATGAGATTACCAATAATATTGGCGCTCTTCATTGCTTGGTCCAATCGTACTCTGAAATCGTTGGTCGTCTCTACAACACTATGAATCCTGGGATTGACATATGTTTTGGTAAATTTGGTCTCCCATTCGTCCCTATCTTTGGGGGTTCTCAAATCTTTAGGAAATTGTGTGGGCGGATTCCTACTCATATCAGTTAAAATCGAAATAATAAACAATGCCAAATTCTCGTCCGAAGCATTGAGAATTATTTTAAGAACATCCCAATCATTCTCAATATGTTCTACACAATATTTCTGAATTTCATCTTCGCTTTCATTTTCTTTTCCAAGGAATTTTTTAGCTTCATCCGACGGCAACAATGAAGCGATGAGCACGTGTACAATAAAGTGAAGAATTCGATATGACGCCGGAGGCATCAACCTCATAGTATAATCTTGTGATTTGTCGATCGGTTCGCTGATATACCCTGCTTGATCATTTTGTCTGATATGCCAAACCTTAGTGTGATCAATTCGACGATTGCCTGCGATTGAATGTTGGATTTGAATTATGAATAGAAAAAAATATTTTAAATCTGCGTATTGCGAACCAACTCACTTTGATCCAATTCGTGATTCAACCCTCCAATCCTATTCTTGCATCTGAGGCATTTACTTTCCGAATAGACTTTTCCGCATTCACCTACAAGATACTTTGCTCCACATTCACACGCATATCTAATGGAATCAAGACAAAATGACAATTTTAATGGTCAGTTGATGGTCGATGGAAAGTATCATTCGTTATTTACCTGGAAACACCGTCCTTTTCATTTTTGGCAATCACGCTGAACAAAATTGACTCAAGATCAGATTGACAAGCCAATATGAACTTATCTTGGCAACCTTCCAGATTGTGCAGGTACACGGCCAAAACGGATGAGCCCGGAGGTGACGATGCATACACACCAATTGTATATGCCATCACTAATTTCATGACCAATTCGCTATTGCTGGGGTGGTTTCTTATCTTTAACAATAAAATGTTATCTGACAAAAGTCCTTCGATATAATGTTTGTACGCGCGCGGTAGGTTTTTAAATGTTTTGAGCTCCTCCCTAATAAAATTTGTTATCGGTTGTTCGAGATGTTGCCAGGCTTGTGAGGACCTTGGGATGTGAATCCTAACCATTACAATTCCCAGCAAAGACATGCGTATGTGAACTAATTCATCTTGTTTCAATAAGTTGATGAGATTCTGCAGTGTTGTTTTATAGTTAAGTTCCCGAAAATCCCTAAGTGCCCTCTCGAATTCTGCATAATCAGTAATCGCAAAGTACGGATTGAACGGCAACCGATCATTATCATCGGCTTCCCATGTTAAATCGACAAACCTATGTGCGATTGTTTTAACCCAAATAGTTAACATTGTGACATAAGTTACGAATGCAAATTTGCAGGTGTTAAATACCATGATCCTTGGCTATCACAAATGCGTTTGATTTCATTCATCGAGTTTCCCTTCTCGCGCAGAACTCTAAGGAGGTATATCTTTAATGATCGTGTCTGTGAATGGTTCAGGTTCATGTAGTCGTCGATTTTTCGACAAATGTTGATTATGTTGGTTTCATAGGATTCTCGAGCTCGACATTGGCCATCAATCAAGATGGAGTCCCACAGTGGGTACACGAATGCCTTAAGGAATGCAATTGACACAACCTTTCTCAATGGAGTTGTCCCTTGATTGTATAAAGCTTCTATGGCTTTCTGGAAGTGTGGATCCAAACTGCGCAGGCTATGCCCCGAGAAAAATTCCTGTTGAATTGTGTCACAGCATAATACAGCCATCGAGGAATTGAGTCCTGCATTCTTGATGCAATCGTCAATTACATTTAGCCTAGGTGAAAGCCCTTTCGTGGGATCAATTATGTTGAAGAAAATATTCTTGGTCTCATTATCCTCAGCTTTAAAGATCTTGGCTATAATAGCCCCCATTAATGGGAAGGGTTTTTGTGAAAACAAAATTTTGTAGAGGGTTAAACGAACTGAGGATTCAATTGGGACCGTGTCCAAGCATCTCAAGATAAAGGATCTCTTCGAATTTAAATTCTTCTCGGTCCTCGGAAGTTCCATCAGTAATCCAAGGATATTTTGTACAAATTCGAGAGGCAAGGATTCTTTACAAGGTTTGAGGTTCAGGCCTGAATCTATGATCGACAAAATCACCCGACGCGTAAACGATTGTGTGGAGAGTAAATCATCACAGGCAAGTAAAGTTTGAAACGATAGCATTTCCAAAGACCCCGAGATTTTTTTACCGACGGAAATGATCTTGTTGGCTTTATGCCTCCATCGATCGATATTGCACTTGAGATCGCGAGAATTATCCCTAATATCGTGTAATATAAATTGTACGGCTTCTTCCATGAGGTATGTTGAAAGGTCAGATTTCTCGTCAGCATCTCTATTCTCAAGCTTTTGAATGCTCGACGGTACCATTTGGGCCAATTGAAGTTGCGCTAATATTGAGTTTCTATTTTCCCACCAATAAATGTGCGGCAATATGGGATTCCGTATTTTTTCCGGTCCTAGCTGTTTTTGAATAATGAATTCAAGAATTCCCGGATCGTTCTCCCCAGGCTCATTGCGGGCAATGACAGACACAAAATCTTTGAAATATAACAATGACGCTTGATTTATAGGTGACGACTTGAACATGGGAATCGACGATGCAACATTTTTGGTGAAATCCCTAATGTAAATATCAATTGTATATTGATCTAGTTCTCCTGTGTCTTCGTCAATGAAATTTGGATTATCCTTAAGTGCAGAGATTTCTTCAGTGTAAATATCTTTGTAACTGTCGATCTTGTTGATGAAGT